ATTGATTTTAGAATTGTGAGAACTTTATGATGCAACATAAGGCACGTACCACATGGTTTAAAGGGGGACTATTTTCAAATGATAGGCAATTTCCTACACTGGTGCAAATAGCAATATAGTTTAATAAAAAGTGCCTTGTTTGTACTGTCATTTACAGTGTGAATTCACACTAAATCGAGAAATATGGCAGACAGTATCAGAATCAGAGATTTGCAGAACTGAAGACCAAGTGAAAGGTGGTTTTACAGATAAGGAAACTGAAGCTTAGAGGGTGATAGGACTTGATTATTCTCCTTGGCTATTATCAGGATAATGCAAGACAAAATTGAGTGAGTAAAAATCTTAGAATTCTGTTAAGATAAAGGGTGTAAACTGTATTAATTAATAGTTAGGTTAATGTATATTTTATAATAAGTTTGCCTGTTACCACACTAACCCTTTGTATCCCAGGTATCATATTATTTTACCGCTGATTTGGCGGAAGACAAGAATCAGTGATTTAAAAACATTTAATCTGTGAGCAAAAGGTGCCTTAGACCATGTCTACTCATATATGGTGAAAGGTAGAGACTTGTATAAAATGGCTTTCCAGCACAGTGTGTAGCTGTTGGGATTACCTGATACAGTAAGGAAGGATTGGCATCATGGACACAGTGAACCAGTTTTATTGGTTACAATTAATATATTGAATGGAGTACCATGTCTCTGCCTTGCATAAGATTTCCTTCCCTTAAATATCTTATTTCACTAATTATCTAATTCATTAATTATTTATATTAACATTTTAATTAATTGTTTTAAGGATGATAAGATTCTGATAGATAGAAAGTATTAATAATATTTTGAAAGAAGCATGGATTATATAGCAGTCATTTGATAAATACCAGTTGAATCATTAAATTAATTCACTCCAATGATGTTTTATCTATGTAGCAATTATCTGTCATCACACATTCAGTCATGGACATGTCTGAAACTGAATTCAGAATCTTGCGAAATGAGAATATAATACATGGTAAGCACTACTTAATTAAATTTACTTTGATTGTACTTCTATTAATTCCCATAAGGGATATGCCAATGGCAGTAGCAATAATATTAATATCTTAGAATTTTCTTCACATTTAAAGTAAATCAGAGAGTACAATATACATCAACATTAAATGAAATTATAAATGATAATGACAAAAAATAAAATAAATTTGAAAATATTAGAAGTATACTGAAAAGAATAAAAGAATATTATTTTAGACAAAAATGGAATGTGTTGATTGATATTCATATGTTAACCCAACTCTACATTCCTGGGATAAACCCACTTGGTCATGTATAAAAATCCATTTTATATGTTGCTGCAGTCAGTTTGCTAGTATGTTAAGGATTTTTGCATCTATATTCACATGGGAAATGGTAACCATATTTCTTTCTTGTGTTATCTTGTCTGGGTTGTCATCAGGGTAATACTGTCATCATAGACAAGTTAAAATGGTCCCTGCTCTTTTATTTTAATTTATCGAGCACTGGTGTTAATTCTTTAAATGTTTGTGAAATTCACCAGTGAAGCCATCTGGTCCTGGCTTTTCTTTGTGAAACATTTTTGATTACTGATTCAATTCTTTTACTTGTTATAGGTCTATCTCAGATTTTATATTTCTTCCTTAAGCAGTTTTGGCAGTTTGTGAATTTGTAGAAATTTTTCCATTTCATCTAGGTTTTCTAATTTGTTGGCTTAAACCTATGACTATTTTGCCTGTAGGTCATAAATCCTCTCCATTATACTGATTTTAGTAATTTCAGCTCTCTTTTTTTCTTGGTGATCTTTTCTTTAAAGGACCAAACTTGGTTTAGTTGATTTTCTCTGTTGTGTTTTCCTACTTCTATTTCATAATTTTCACTCTAATCCAATAATTCATTCTTTCGTTTCTTTGGGTGGAGTATGCTCTCCTTTTTTGTTGTTTTCTTAAGGTGAAGTTTGCATTATTATTTGAGATCTTTCTTTTTAAAATACAGGTATTTTCAGCTATAATTTTCCCTCTAAGCACAGCTTTTATTGCATCCATAATTTTGGTATGTTGTATTTTCATTGTCATTTATTAAGAGTATTTATAATGTCTCTTGTATTTTTTGCTTCATTGGTTATTTAGAAATATGTTGTTTAGTTTCCACGTATTTGCAATTTCCCAAATTTTCTCCTGCTACTGCTTTCTAATTTCATTCCATTTTAGTTGAAAATATACTTTGCAAAAAAAAAAAGAAAATATACTTTGCATGATTTTAACCCTTTAAATTTATTGAGACTTGCTTTATGGCCAAACATATAGTCTTGCCTGGAGATATCCATATACACTTGAGAAGAATGTGTATTGTGCTGTGTTGAGGGAATGCTCTCTCTTAGGTACAGTTGGTTTATGATGTTATTCAAGTCTTCTTTTTCTTGTTGATATGTTATTTGTTGTTCTATTATTGAAAGTATTGATAGTAAAATCTTCATTATTATTTTGAATTATTTTTTCATTTTTGTAAGTTTTTATTTAATTTATTTTGGGCTGTATTATTAGGTGTGTTATATGTTTAAAATTGTTCTATCTTCCAATGGATTGGCTTTTATCATTATAAAATTCCTCTCCTTCACTTTTTATTTTTAGTAACTTTTTTGTTTGTTATTGCATATTTTGCCTGATATTAATGTAGCCATTTCAGCTCTCTTTTGGTTACTGTCACATGGTATACCTTTTCCCATCCTTTAGTTTCAACCTCTTTGTGTCTTTGAATATAAAATGTGTGTCTTGTAGTTGGATCATTTGTAAAAATCCATTCTGTCAATTATGTTTTTTAATTGGAGGGTGTATCCATTCACATCTAATATCATTACTGATAAGATAGATTTATATCTGCCATTTTGCTTTGTTTTCCACATGTTTATGTCTTTTTATTTTATTCCTCCTATTGTCTTCTTGCATGTAAAGAAATATTTTCTTGGACATTTTAATTGTCTTACTATTTCTTTTAATTTTTTAGTTCATTCTTTCTTCTGTCTTTTTGATTTGACAAGCTTGCTGTGTTGCCCAGTTGGAATGCAGTGGCCCAATCATAGCTCACTGAAACCTCAAACTCCTGGGCTCAAGCAATCCTCCCACCTCAGCCTCCTGAGGATGGACTACAGGCATGCCAACCATGCCCGGCTAATTTTTAACTTTTTTTTGTAGAGACAGAGTCTCACTATGTTGCTCAGGCTTGTCTTGAACCCCTAGGCTCAAGCAATACTCCCAACCTTGACCCCCAAAGTGCTGAGATTATGAGCATGAGCCACTATGCTCAACTTGTTATTTCTTGATGTTTTCCCTGGTTATTAAAATTAATATCTTAGGCCGGGCGTGGTGGCCCATGCCTGTAATCCTAGCACTCTGGGAGACCGAGGCAGGCAGATTGCTCAAGTTCAGGAGTTTGAAACCAGCCTAAGCAAAAGCAAGACCCTGTCTCTACTATAAATAGAAAGAAATTAATTGGCCAACTATATATATAGAAAAAATAGCCGGGCATGGTAGCACATGCCTGTAGTCCCAGCTACTCTGGAGGCTGAGGCAGCAGGATTGCTGGAGCCCAGGAGTTTGAGGTTGCTGTGAGCTAGGCTGAGCCATGGCACCCACTCTAGCCTGGCAACAAAGTGAGACTCTGTCTCAAAAAAAATAATAAAAATATTTTAACTTTCACCAATCTAGTCAGATTAATATCAACTTAATTTCAAAAGTATATAGAATTTTGTCTCTATATAGCTTTTATCCCTCTTCCTTTGAGCTGTGTCATACAAATTATGTCATTACAAATTATATACCATGAACATATATTATAATCATTGTTTTATGCAGTCATCTTTTAAATCAAAAGTTATAAACAAAAATACATTTATACTGTCTTTTTGTATTATGTCTATGTAGTTACCTTTATAGATGATTTATTTTTTCATGTAGATTAATGTTACTCTGGTGTCCTTTTTATTCAGCCCAAATGACTATGTTAGTATTTTTTTGTAAGACAAGTTTGAATGTCCTCCTAGGCCCAAAACTTCTCTCTATACATTCCATAATTGAATATTTCCCTGACTCTGACACTACCTGGGACTAAGGCAGCCAAATAAAGACAGATTTTCTTCAGAATTCCTTGCCTTTTGCCTGATCTTCATGGAAATTTAGCTATGTATGAAAAGAAGAAAAAATCTGACTAAAAGAGCCAGATTCAAACATCTCTATAAGGTGAAAGATACATATTACATCTCATAATGAACATTTCTTAAAGTGAAAGATAATGTTTTTTCTGATTATTAATGAGTCATGCATTTGATGCCTGGTTACGTAAAATGATGGCATTTTAATGTGGTTATATAATAATTATACTTTAATATATTATTAAAGCATGTGATCTCAAATTCACTTTTTCTTTTGGGAATTTCCAAAATCTTTGAGACTTCAGTTCCCTTTTTTCCTAGTATGAATATTCAATTCCTGGAAAGTTCTGTGTCTCTTTATGAGAAAATACCTGGAGAAGAAAATTAATTTTTTTCTAATAAATTTCTCTAATTAGGAACTAAATATTTTGTTACTTAAAATAAGTTTTGGGGTTTTTGTGAGACAGATTCTCACTGTGTTGCCCAGGCTAGAGTGCTGTGGCATCAGCCTAGTTCACAGCAATCTCAAACTGGGCTCAAGTGATCCTTCTGCCTCAGCCTCCCAAGTAGCTGGGACTACAGGCATGTGCCACCATGCCCAGATAATTTTTTCTATATATTTTTAGTTGGCCAATAAATTTCTTTCTATTTTTAGTAGAGATGGGGTCTCGCTCTTGCTCAGGCTGGTTTCAAACTCCTGACCTTAAGTGATCCTCCCGTCTTGGCCTCCCAGAGTGCTAGGATTATAGGCGTGAGCCACTGCGCCTGGCCTTTATTTTTTTTTTTTTTGCTTCAAACTCAGTATAGGGAACCTGGCCTTTAAAATAAGTTTTTCTATTTTACTCAAAATAGTCATAAAATTTGATGTTTTTGTTGCTTCCAGATTTTATTCTTAGTTGTAAATTTAGATTTTCACAATGATATTGCCCTTTCCTTTTTAGACCTTTCTATTCTTGTACATTTTCTTTTAATTACATTGTAGGAGGTGGAATGCTGATATGGATGGACAATTTGTATCCCAGTAGGACCATATATAATCCTGAATCATGTCAGGTTGAAATCTGAAGAAGTGAACAGGAAAAAATATAATATTTCCCTCCTATATCACCATGCAAATGGCAAGTAGGTATTAATAATAAAGTAGGACTGGGTGGGACAGTACTTTTGCCATACAGCATTCATAGATCATATATCCATGTGCTTTCTTGAAATTAAAAAGAAATGGCCCTCAAGTTTACAACATTTACTTCTCAGAATTTACAAAACAAATTTTCATCACACCAGATGCCTTATTAAACAATGCTTTTGTGTCAACCAGAAATGAACAACCAGTTGTTTAAGATGGTATAAAGTTAAATTTTTTCCCTCAGTCATCAAGAAAGCACTTTAGGCAAACCTAAGAGTATTTTGCCATATTACTCTATATTTTTTATCTATTTTGGGCCAATACAAGCATATACAATATTGAAACATTAATTGCAAGTGTCAACATAGAAATTGAACTAAATGTATTACTTTCATTTGGGTACTCCTCAAAAGATGGTACATTCCTATTATCTTAAAGAAAACACATTCTTATCTATCCTCAAACTTCATTAGTCATAGAAAAAGCTGCTTTAGGAATATTGTAAAGCACATTATATGAACATATTCAACAAGGTAAATTATAAAATTGGTGGGTTGGAAAATTATAAAATTGGTGGGTTGGAACTCTACGTTGCTGTAAAATATAGAATTTGAAATGAGATACTTAAAAACTATTTGAAATCACCATTAAAAGATAATGAATTTATTTTTGCTCCTCTATTAGAAAAAGAAAAGGAGCCATGAAGACTGTGTTGGTAAACCAGGAAGCAGAAGAAAAAAGAAAAGTATGCATGAATTAGAAACTAACTACATAGAAAGGATAATCAATATATAAACAAAATGTTCTATCATCTAAAGTTTTTTGATTAAAGAAGAAAACATTCAGGGACAAAAAACTACTTTCGGATTCTTCTGTTAATGAAACCTAAGCTATTCCTGGAATTGGAATTTAGCTCCAGTACTCCTAGGTGCCTTGAACCAGACCAGAAGAGACATCTTCAGACAAAGCAGTAAAAAAAAGGACTTTCCACAAATTAACAGAACTAGGCTCAGGAGACCCTAATTAACACTTAACTGAATTCAAAGCTATTCCTGACGCTGGGGTTTGCCTCACTAACCCTCTCTGGACCCTGAGCAAGGAAATTGGGGATAATGGGTTTCAGGAACTTGAACTCACTGGTCCCAGAGCCTCCGGTCAGACACACCTCATACTGGTAGCTCTGGGACAGGGTCCCCGCGCCGCTGACATCCACCAGGTGGCCCGGAAAGCGGCCCTCAGGCACCGAGCAGCGACCCCCCGAGGCCGCCCGGTCCCTCCTGCACAGCCGCACCGCCACGAACAGCAGCACCGAGAACAGGAAGAGCGACGACACCGCGGCCAAGGCCACCACCAGGTAGACGGTGAGCGAGTCGGCCTGGGCCTGGGCCGGGGCCGCTTCCGGCGGCGGCAGGTAGGGCTGCGAGAAGCCGTCCACCAGCAGCACGTGCAGCGTGACGCTGGCAGACAGCGCGGGCTCGCCACTGTCCCTCACCAGCACCACCAGCCTGTGCCTGGCCGCGTCGCGCTCGCCCAGCGGCCTGGCGGTGCGCACCTCGCCGTTGTGCGGCCACACGCTGAACAGCCCGGGCTCCGTGGCCTTGAGCAGCTGGAACGACAGCCAGGCGTTCTGGCCCGAGTCGCCGTCCACCGCCACCACCTTGCTCACCAGGTAGCCGGCCTCTGCCGCCCTGGGCAGCAGCTCGGTGCAGGGCGCCGAGCCGTTCTGCGGCGGGTACAGCACGAAGGGCGGGTTGTCGTTGTCGTCCAGCACCGCCACGCGCACCAGCGCCTCGCTGCGCAGCGCGGGGGAGCCTCGGTCTGCGGCGCCCACGCGGAACTCGAACGCCCGCAGGGCCTCGAAGTCCAGCGACCTCAGGGCGAACAGCTGCCCGTTGTCCGCGTTGATGGAGACCAGCGAGGCGAGCGGCAGGTGCGGGTCGCGGGGCGGCAGCAGCGAGTAGGTGACCTGGGCGTTGGCGCCCGAGTCTCTGTCTGTGGCGCTGACGCTGCCGATGTGCAGGGCGGGGCTGTTGTTCTCGGGGACGAACAGGGTGTAGGAGGGTTGGGAGAAGGCGGGGGCGTTGTCGTTGACGTCGGAGACCAGCACGGTTATGGTGTGCTCCGTCTTCAGCCTGGGTGTCCCCAAGTCCGTGACCGTGATGGTGATGTTGTACTCGGCTCTGCTCTCTCTGTCCAACGGTCTCTCTGTTACCAGGGTATAAAAATTCTTGAAAATTGGCTTTAGAATGAATGGCAAATTATCTGGAATCGAGCAGATCATCTTTCCGTTGTCTCCGGAATCTTTATCTCGAATTCGGAAGATGGAGACTACAGTCTCGGGAGCGTTTTCTGGGATGGAGCTGGTGAGGGAAGACATGCTAAGCTCAGGGGCGTTGTCATTCACATCCACCACCTGAATGAGTACTGTGCCTTTCCCAGAAAGGCCTCCTCCATCTGTGGCCTCAATTTCCACACGGTAAGATTTAATTTTTTCGAAATCCAATTTCTTTTTCAGTCGGATCTCTCCTGTGACTTCGTTTATTGAGAAAGTCTGTTTAATTTCATCTGGCGCTTGGAACAAGCCATAGGAAACGCTCCCGAAGTTTCCAGCATCCGCATCCCTAGCTGTGACACTAAGAACTGGGGAGTCCAGGGGGCTGTTTTCCAGGACCTGCACCTCGTATGGGGTGTGCACAAACTCAGGAGCATTGTCATTGACATCCATGATCAAGATTCGAACCATGACCGTCCCAGACCGAGGTGGTGACCCACCATCCAGCGCCGTGAGGGTTAAGCTGAACTCGGGCTGCTCCTCTCGGTCCAGCGCTCTGTCCTGCACCAAGTCTGGATATTTCTTGCCCTCGCTATCATTTCGAGTGAGAATGTGAAAATGAGAATTGGCGCTGACTGTGTACTGTTGAAGACCGTTGCTACCCACATCCATGTCCTGAGCTAACACCAAGGGAAACAGAGTCCCTGGCTGGCTGTTTTCTGGCATTTTCAAGAGCACTTCCTTATCAGGGAATACCGGAGAGTGGTCATTTATGTCCTGGATGGATAATTCTCCTTGAAAAAACTGCACCGGCATTTCCAGGAGCACTTGGAAGTGCAGCACACACGGCTCTGCGGGGCCGCACAGCTCCTCCCGGTCCAGTTTCTCCTTCAGAAGCAAATCTCCGGTCTGACGATCCAGCTGCAAAGGCTGCTTGTCATCGTCAGACACCACCCGGGCCGACCTGGCGCCCAGCTCCCCAGCTTGCAGGCCCAGATCCTTGGTCAGGTGGGCTACGAAGGAGCCACTCTCTGTTTCCTCGGGCACAGAATAACGAATAGGCTGGGAGCGAACTTGAGAAAAGAACGCTATCAAAATAAACGCCCACACTTGCCTGTTTGGATGCATTCTCTCTAGCTTCTCCAGGTCGGGCTCTGGGTCTTTACATCCAATCCCTTCAGCAACCACAAAAGACCTGAGACATTCAATTCCAGTTTCTTCCTTGGAAGAATCGTCACAAAGTTGCCTTTAACCTTAAATTCGGTTAGTGCACCGCTGCCCAAGCCCGCTGGTAACCCCGTACTGCTTCGCAAATCTTCTTGCGAGTGTTTTTGATTGCGTCTCTCGCTACACAAAAGAATACGCGCGAGCTGTAGAGGGTTCTTTATTCACAATCTTAGCTTGCAGCGCCACCCTGTGTCTAGATTGAGAAATTGATGTTTTCGAGTCAAAGCGCATTTTGTAAGTTTCCAAATGAAAGCCATTTTTAGGTGTATAGAATTTTTACAAATTGTGTTATTAAACTGTATAATTTATAAGGTTACAGTGAATAAACTAGAATAATCCTGAGAACAAAGCAAGACGGTATCTCTGTCTCTCCACACTGTTATCCGTGGGGAGAAGAACTCCATTTCTAACCAGGGCAGATAAGTTCTTATAAAATTTCAATTCAATTCGTAATAGTTACATTTTTATTTTTTATTTCCTAGAATGTGAGAACTTTATGATGATGCAAAACTTTAAGATGTTCTGTACCACATGGTTTAAAGGGGGACTATTTTTCAAATGATAGGTTGGTTCTATTTTCCTACACTGGTGCAAATAGTAATATAGTTTAATAAAAAGGTGCCTTGTTTTGTACTGTCATTTACAGTGTGAATTCACACTAAATCTAGAAATATGGCAGACAGTATCAGAATCAGAGATTTGCAGAACTGAAGACCAAGTGAAAGGTGGTTTTACAGATAAGGACACTGAAGCTTAGAGGGTGATAGGACTTGATTATTCTCCTTGGCTATTATCAGGATAATGGCAAGACAAAATTGAGTGAGTAAAAATCTTAGAATTCTGTTAAGATAAAGGGTTTAAACTGTATTTATTTAATAGTTAGGTGTAATGTATATTTTATAATAAGTTTGCCTGTTACCACACTAACCCTTTGTATCCCAGGTATCATATTATTTTACCAGCTGATTTGGCGGAAGACAAGAATCAGTGATTTAAAACATTTTAATCTGTGAGCAAAAGGTGCCTTAGACCATGTCTACTCATATATGGTGAAAGGTAGAGACTTGTATAAAATGGCTTCCAGCACAGTGTGTAGCTGTTGGGATTACCTTGATACAGTAAGGAAGGATTGGCATCACTGGGACACAGTGAACCAGTTTATTGGTTACAATTAATATATTGAATGGAGTACCATGTCTCTTGCCTTGCATAAGATTTCCTTCCCTTAAATATCTTATTTCACTTAATTATCTAATTCATTTAATTATTTATAATTAACATTTAATTAATTGTTTTTAAAGGATGATAAGATTCTGATAGTGATAGAAAGTATTAATAAAAATTATTTTTGAAAGAAGCATGGATTATAGCAGTCATTTGATAAATACCAGTTGAATCAATAAATTAATTCACTCCAATGATGTTTTTATCTATGTAGGCAGATTATTGTCAGATCACACATTCAGTCATGGACATGTCTGAAACTGAATTCAGAATTCTGCGAAATGAGAATATAATACATGGTAAGCACTACTTAATTAAATTTACTTTGATTGTACTTCTATTAATTCCCATAAGGGATATGCCAATGGCAGTAGCAATAATATTAATATCTTAGAATTTTCTTTCACATTTAAAGTAAATCAGAGGAGATACAATATACATCAACATTAAATGAAATTGATACAAATGTTTTAGATCACATGAAAAAAAAACAAAAATAATAAAAAAAATAAATGAAATTGAAAAATAATTTAGAAAGTATACTGAAAAGAATAAAAAGAATATTATTTTAGACAAAAATGGAATGTGTTGATTGATATTCATGTGTTAACCCAACTCTACATTCCTGGGATAAACCCCACTTGGTCATGGTATAAAATCCATTTTATATGTTGCTGCAGTCAGTTTGCTAGTATGTTAAGGATTTTTGCATCTATATTCACATGGGAAATTGGTAACCATATTTCTTTCCTTGTGTTATCTGTGTCTGGGTTTGTCATCAGGGTAATACTGTCATCATAGGACAAGTTGAAAAATGGTCCCTGCTCTTTTATTTTATTTATCGAGCACTGGTGTTAATTCTTTAAATGTTTGGTAGAATTCACCAGTGAAGCCATCTGGTCCTGGGCTTTTCTTTGTGAAACATTTTTGATTACTGATTCAATTTCTTTACTTGTTATAGGTCTATTCAGATTTTATATTTCTTCCTTAAGCAGTTTTGGCAGTTTGTGAATTTGTAGAAATTTTTCCATTTCATCTAGGTTTTCTAATTTGTTGGCTTAAACCTATGACCTATTTTGCCTGTAGGTCATAAATTCCTTCTCCATTATTACTGATTTTAGTAATTTCAGCTCTCTTTTTTTCTTGGTGATTTAGATAACAGTTTGCCAGTTTTGTTGATCTTTTCAAAGGACCAAACTTTGGCTTAGTTGATTTTCTCTGTTGTGTTTTCCTACTCTCTATTTCATTAATTTTCACTCTAATCCAATAATTTCATTCTTTCTGTTTACTTTGGGTGGAGTATGCTCTCCTTTTTTGTTGTTATTTCTTAAGGTGGAAGTTTGCATTATTGATTTGAGATCTTTCTTTTTAAAAATACAGGTATTTTCAGCTATAATTTTCCCTCTAAGCACAGCTTTTATTGCATCCCATAAATTTTGGTATGTTGTATTTTCATTGTCATTAATTTAAGAGTATTTTATAATGTCTCTTGTGATTTTTTCTTTGTCTCATTGGTTATTTAGAAATATGTTGTTTAGTTTCCACGTATTTGCAAATTTCCCAAATTTTCCCCTGCTACTGCTTTCTAATTTCATTCCATTTTAGTTGGAAAATATACTTTGCAAAAAAAAAAAAAAAAAAAGAAAATATACTTTGCATGATTTTAACCCTTTTAAATTTATTGAGACTTGCTTTATGGCCAAACATATAGTCTTGCCTGGAGAATGATCCATATACACTTGAGAAGAATGTGTATTGTGCTGTTGTTGAGTGGAATGCTCTCTCTTAGGTACAGTTGGTTTATGATGTTATTCAAATCTTCTTTTTTCTTGTTGATATGTTATTTTGTTGTTCTATTATTGAAAGTAGTGATAGTAAAATCTTCATTTATTATTGTTGAATGTATTTTTTCATTTTTGTAAGTTTTTATTTTATTTATTTTGGGGCTGTATTATTAGGTGTGTTATATGTTTAAAATTGTTCTATCTTCCAAATGGATTGGCCATTTTATCATTATAAAATTCCTCTCCTTCACTTTTTATTTTTAGTAACTTTTTGTTTGTTTCATTGCATATTTTGCCTGATATTAATGTAGCCATTTCAGCTCTCTTTTGGTTACTGTCTACATGGTATACCTTTTCCCATCCTTTTAGTTTCAACCTCTTTGTGTCTTTGAATATAAAATGTGTGTCTTGTAGTTGGATCATTTGTAAAAATCCATTCTGTCAATTTATGTTTTTTAATTGGAGGGTGTGATCCATTCACATCTAATATCATTACTGATAAGATAGATTTATATCTGCCATTTTGCTTTGTTTTCCACATGTTTTATGTCTTTTTATTTTATTCCTCCACTATTGTCTTCTTGCATGTTAAAGAAATATTTTCTTGGGTACCATTTTAATTGTCTTACTATTTCTTTTAATTTTTTTAGTTCATTCTTTCTTTCTGTCTTTTTGTTATTTTGACAAGGTCTTGCTGTGTTGCCCAGTTGGAATGCAGTGGCCAATCATAGCTCACTGTAACCTCAAACTCCTGGGCTCAAGCAATCCTCCCACCTCAGCCTCCTGAGTAGCTGGGACTACAGGCATGCGCCACCATGCCCGGCTAATTTTTTAACTTTTTTTTGTAGAGACAGAGTCTCACTATGTTGCTCAGGCTTGTCTTGAACCCCTAGGCTCAAGCAATACTCCCACCTTGGCCTCCCAAAGTGCTGAGATTATGAGCATGAGCCACTATGCCAACTTAGTTATTTTCTTGATGTTTTCCCTGGTTATTAAAATTAATATCTTAGGCCGGGCGTGGTGGCCCATGCCTGTAATCCTAGCACTCTGGGAGACCGAGGCAGGCAGATTGCTCGAGTTCAGGAGTTTGAAACCAGCCTGAGCAAAAGCAAGACCCTGTCTCTACTATAAATAGAAAGAAATTAATTGGCCAACTGATATATATAGAAAAAATTAGCCGGCATGGTGCACATGCCTGTAGTCCCAGCTACTCTGGAGGCTGAGGCAGCAGGATTGCTGGAGCCCAGGAGTTTGAGGTTGCTGTGAGGCTAGGCTGACGCCATGGCACTCACTCTAGCCTGGGCAACAAAGTGAGACTCTGTCTCAAAAAAAAAAAAATAATAATATTTTAACTTTCACCAATCTAGTTCAGATTAATATCAACTTAATTTCAAAAGTATATAGAATTTTGTCTCTATATAGCTTTTATCCCTCTTCCTTTGAGCTGTGTTGTCATACAAATTATGTCATTACAAATTATATACCCATGAACATATATTTATAATCATTGTTTTATGCAGTCATCTTTTAAATCAAAAAGTTATAAACAAAAATACATTTATACTGTCTTTTTGTATATATGTCTATGTAGTTACCTTTATGATGATTTTATTTTTTCATGTAGATTAATGTTACTCTGGTGTCCTTTTTATTCAGCCCAAATGACTATGTTAGTATTTTTTTGTAAGACAAGTTTGAATGTCCTCCTAGGCCCCAAAACTTCTCTCTATACATTCCATAATTGAATATTTCCCTGACTCTGACACTACCTGGGACTAAGGCAGCCAAATAAAGACAGATTTTCTTCAGAATTCCTTGCCTTTTGCCTGATCTTCATGGAAATTTAGCTATGTATGAAAAGAAGAAAAAATCTGACTAAAAGAGCCAGATTCAAACATCTCTATAAGGTGAAAGATAACATATTACATCTCATAATGAACATTTCTTAAAGTGAAAGATAATGTTTTTTCTCTGATTATTAATGAGTCATGCATTTGATGCCTGGTTACGTAAAAATGATGGCATTTTAATGTGGTTATATAATAATTATACTTTAATATATTATTAAAAGCATGCTGATCTCAAATTCACTTTTTCTTTTGGGAATTTTCAAAATCTTTGAGAACTTCAGTTCCCTTTTTTCCTAGATATGAATATTCAATTCCTGGAAAGTTCTGTGTCTCTTTATGAGAAAATACCTGTGAGAAGAAAATTAATTTTTTTCTAATAAATTTCTCTAATTAGGAACTAAATATTTTGTTACTTAAAATAAGTGTTGGGGGTTTTTGTGAGACAGATTCTCACTCTGTTGCCCAGGCTAGAGTGCTGTGGCATCAGCCTAGTTCACAGCAATCTCAAACTCCTGGGCTCAAGTGATCCTGCTCACTCCCAGCCCCGCGGATACGGCATGTGCCACATGCCCAGATAATTTTTTCTATATATTTTTAGTTGGCCAATAATTTCTTTCTATTTTAGTAGAGATGGGGTCTCGCTCTTGCTCAGGCTGGTTTCAAACTCCTGACCTTAAGTGATCCTCCCGTCTTGGCCTCCCAGAGTGCTAGGATTATAGGCGTGAGCCATGGCTGCTTTTTTTTTTTTTTTGCTTCAAACTCAGTATAGGACCTGCCTTTAAAATAAGTTTTTCTATTTTACTCAAAATAGTCATAAATTTGATGTTTTGTTGCTTCCAGATTTTATTCTTAGTTGTAAATTTAGATTTTCACAATGATATTGCCCTTTCCTTTTTAGACCTTTCTATTCTTGTACATTTTCTTTTAATTACATTGTAGGAGGTGGAATGCTGATATGGATGGACAATTTGTATCCCAGTAGGACCATATATAATCCTGAATCATGTCAGGTTGAAATCTGAAGAAGTGAACAGGAAAAAATATAATATTTTCCTCCTATATCACCATGCAAATGGCAAGTAGGTATTAATAATAAGTAGGACTGGGTGGGACAGTCTTTTGCCATACAGCATTCAGAGATCATATATCCATGTGCTTTCTTGAAATTAAAAGAAATGGCCCTCAGGTTTACAACATTTACTTCTCAGAATTTACAAACAAATTTTCATCACACCAGATGCCTTATTAAACAATGCTTTTGTGTCAACCAGAAATGAACAACCAGTTGTTTAAGATGATATAAAGTTAATTTTTTCTCTCAGTCATCAAGAAAGCACTTTAGGCAAACCTAAGAGTATTTTGCCATATCACTCTATATTTTTGTCTATTTTGGCATACAAGCATATACAATATTGAAACATTAATTGCAATGTACACATAGAAATTGAACTAAATGTATTACTTTCATTTGGGTACTCCTCCAAAGATGGTACATTCCTATTATCTTAAGAAACAACATTCTTATCTATCCTCAAACTTCATTAGTCATAGAAAAAGCTGCTTTAGGAATAATTGTAAAGCACATTATATGAACATATTCAACAAGGTAAATTATAAAATTGGTGGGTTGGAAAATTATAAAATTGGTGGGTGTGAACTCTACGTTGCTGTAAAATATGAATTTGAATGAGATACTTAAAAATATTTGAAATCACCATTAAAGATAATGAATTTATTTTTGCTCTCTATTAGAAAAGAAAAGAGCCATGAAGACTGTGTTGGTAAACCAGGAAGCAGAAGAAAAAAGAAAGTATGCATGAATTAGCAAACTAACTACATAGAAAGGATAATCAATATATAAACAAAATGTTCTATCAACTAAAGTTTTTTGATTAAAGAAGAAAACATTCAGGGACAAAAAACTACTTTCGGATTCTTCTGTTAATGAAACCTAAGCTATTCCTGGAATTGGAATTTAGCTCCAGTACTCCTACGTGCCTTGAACCAGACCAGAAGAGACATCTTCAGACAAAGCAGTAAAAAAAAGGACTTTCCACAAATTAACAGAACTAGGCTCAGGAGACCCTAATTAACACTTAACTGAATTCAAAGCTATTCCTGACGCTGGGGTTTGCCTCACTAACCTCTCTGGACCCTGAGCAAGGAAATTGGGGATAATGGGTTTCAGGACTTGAACTCACTGGTCCCAGAGCCTCCCGTCAACACACCCTATACTGGTAGCTCTGGGACAGGGTCCCGCGCCGCTGACGTCCACCAGGTGCCCGGAAAGGGCCCTCAGGCACCGAGCAGCGACCCCCGAGGCCGCCGGTCCCTCCTGCACAGCCGCACCGCCACGAACAGCAGCACCGAGAACAGGAAGAGCGACGACACCGCGGCCAAGGCCACCACCAGGTAGACGGTGAGCGAGTCGGCCGGGCCTGGGCCGGGGCCCTTCCGGCGGCGGCAGGTAGGGCTGCGAGAAGCCGTCCACCAGCAGCACGTGCAGCGTGACGCTGGCAGACAGCGCGGGCTCGCCACTGTCCCTCACCAGCACCACCAGCCTGTGCCTGGCCGGTCGCGCTCGCCCAGGGCCTGGCGGTGCGCACCTCGCCATTGTGCGGCCACACGCTGAACAGCCCCGGTCCGTGGCCTTGAGCAGCTGAACGACAGCCAGGCGTTCTGGCCGAGTCGCCGTCCACCGCCACCACCTTGCTCACCAGGTAGCCGGCTCTGCCGCCCTGGGCAGCAGCTCGGTGCAGGGCGCCGAGCCGTTCTGCGGCGGGTACAGCACGAAGGCGGGTTGTCGTTGTCGTCCAGCACCGCCACGCGCACCAGCGCCTCGCTGCGCAGCGCGGGGAGCCTCGGTCTGCGGCGCCACGCGGAACTCGAACGCCCGCAGGCCTCGAAGTCCAGCGACCTCAGGGCGAACAGCTGCCCGTTGTCCGCGTTGATGGAGACCAGCGAGGCGAGCGGCAGGTGCGGGTCGCGGGCGGCAGCGCGAGTAGGTGACCTGGGCGTTGGAGCCCGAGTCTCTGTCTGTGGCGCTGACGCTGCCGATGTGCAGGGCGGGGCTGTTGTTCTCGGGGACGAACAGGGTGTAGGAGCTTTGGGAGAAGCGGGGGCGTTGTCGTTGACGTCGGAGACCTGCACGGTTATGGTGTGCTCCGTCTTCAGCCTGGGAGTCCCCATGTCGGTGACGGTGATGGTGATGTTGTACTCGGCTTGGTTTTCTCTGTCCAGCGCTCCTTCTGATACTAGGGTGTAAAAATTGTCTACAGATGGTTTCAGGACGAAGGGAAGATTGTTCTGGATGGAACACGGTCACTCTTCCATTGTCTCCAGAGTCTAGATCAGAAACACTGAAAACAGCCACCACAGTCTCTGCTGAGTTCTCGGGGATAGGGCTGTGAACCGATGACAAAGTCAGTTCTGGTGGGTTGTCGTTCACATCAACCACCTGAACTAGGACTGTGGATTTTCCCGAAAGGCCTCCGCCATCCTTGGCCTCGATGTCGACTTCGTAGGTACTAATGGCTTCAAAATTCAAATATTTGACTAGGTGCATATCTCCAGTAACTGGATTTAGTTGAAAGGTTTTGCGAATTTCTTCAGAAGCATGAAAAAATGCATATGATATTGTCCCAAAATTTCCTGTATCTAAATCAGAAGCTGAGACAGTGACAATGACAGAGTTAGGTGGGCTGTTCTCTAGAATTTGAACCTCGTAGAGCGACTGTGCAAATTCTGGGGCGTTGTCGTTTATATCCAAGACCAGGATGTGGATCTGGGCCGTCGCGGACCGCGGTGGGGAGCCGCCATCCAGAGCCACGAGCGTTAGGCTGAGCTCGGGCTGCTCCTCTCGATCCAGCGCTTTGTCCAGCACTAGTTCCGCGTACTTCTTTCCGTCCCTACGGCTGCGTGTGAGGACGTGGAAATGGGCATTAGGAGCAACAGTGTAGTTCTGGAGACTGTTTCTTCCCACATCCAAGTCCTCAGCATTCCCCAAAGGAATGACTGTCCCTGGAGGGGTGCTTTCTAGGAGTTTCAGCTGCATTTCATTTTCAAAGAATACTGGAGAATGGTCATTTACATCTATGATCTGCAGCTCATTTGCAACAAACTGCAAAGGGTTTTGCAGTAATATCTGAAAATGCAGTATGCATGGTTCTGCGGGGCCGCATAGCTCCTCCCGGTCCAATTTCTCGTTCAGGAGCAAATCACCTGTCTGATGATTGAGCTGAAAATGCTGTTTGTTCCCTTTGGACACAACTTGGGTCCCCCTCGCGGCCAGTTCCTCTACCCTCAGCCCCAGATCCTTTGCTAGGTTGGCAATTAAAAAGCCCTTCTCTTTTTCCTCGGCCACAGAATAGCGTCTCGATTCGGACACAGACAGAGACCCACCCAGAAAAATAAAGAGAAGCAGGACTTGCCTTTGTCTGAGAAAGCGGTCCCCTCCGGCCTCCATTGCACTTTCTGCCGTGTTCTTCCAGGGAATGTCGCCCAGCCGAACCTCAGACAGTGCTGGGAAACACAGTCTTTTTCTCCACAACCTTTGTAGAAGGCCTAGCGAATAATCCTTTCCAGAGGCTCAGATTTGCTTGCTTTTAAAAAGCTGCCGGTGCTCCCAACGCTTGCTTTACCACAATGGATCCGTGCGCCACGGAGTGCGCACTACGCCTGCGGTTTAACTCGCCTTCTTAGCCAATAGCGCCACCATGCGTTCACTCACAGTTTCAGAATCTTGGAGAAGGTGTGTTTTTGTTTTCATTTTTTTTGTTTTATTCCTTATTCCCCTTATTAAACCCAGCTGATGCTACTGGAGGAGTTTCTCCTGTCATGCGAGCTAAATAAATGCAACGTGCTTTTATCTAAAAGAAGTGATTGTTCCTGGTAGAGTCCTCATTTACATGATTTTGGGGAAATGTACACATTACTAGGCTGCTCTTGCCCTTCTATAATTATTACACACAACTTTTAAAGGAGTTTGCTCTAACGATAACATGCTTTACTGTCCTATTTGTGTTTTTATTTATTTTCTAAATTTTGTGAAATGTACATGAGTTGCATTTATAGCCAGAAAAATGCTATGAAAAGACAATCTCATGCAATGTGATTTAAAAAAATGGCTCATATCAGACAGTAGATCCCAAGAGCTGCAAATGCATAATTCTTTCCATATTTTTACACTCAAGGAATATTTTAGAGTAATTTTTCCTCTTATTATTTCACAGTAATTTTACAATTGTTTGTTTCATCTGTATTAACTTATTTCCATAATTATTGAGTTTGTAGAAGTTAGGCATATAGTGGTAACAGGACAATGTCTATGTATACAGTTTTCCACCTAATGAGGTGAACAGTCTTTATACAGATGCTCAAACAGTGTGAAAAGTGCTCTATAGGAAACACACTGAGTGCCCTGAAAGTATGCAATAGGGGACCTAACTTAATGGGGAGGGGTTAAGAAAGTTCCCCCAAAGATTCACCATTTAATCTGGAACACGAAATCTGAGAAGTGTGTCAGGCTAACACTGTAGAATATGTGAAGGTCCTGGGACAGAAAAGCATCTATTCAAGATAATGAAGAAGGACACTATACCCGAAAACTTAGTGTCTCAAACACAAGTGGAAAGGGAAGGCTAGAAAAGGAAACCCAGGTCAAATAATGGGTGCCTGGATTTTATTCTAAGAACAAAAGGAAGCTGTTGCAAGCTTGTAGGCAGAGAAAGGAAACAATGCAAATATCAAGTGCTCAATCTAGCTTCTTTTGTACTCCTACATAGTTATCAGGAATGTTACTTGCTGGTTCATCTATTTACTCTTAATATTGGTGATACTAAAAATAACAGTGTTCTACTTCTACATCTTTACATAATCTTATTTGATTATAACTACAAGCTAGTGAAATAGCTATCATTTGGGGTAGAGGGACAGAAATTATGTGACTTACCCCAAATTCTACAAGTACTAAGTTGGTTGACCAGAGACTTTTGATACCGCGATAGTGCTCTACACCACTGCTAGTCTCAAAATGAGACCTTTAAAATTCATATTATAATTTTAATAGTATAGCTTATTCAAATATACATACAATGATATAAAAATATAAAGATAGGCTGAATAACATTAAGAATTAAAACTTTTTTTAATGTGTAGATCAGAAAATAAACTTGAAGCAATGAAGAAAGTTGGATGAGTCACTTAGGAAACTATAGAAGAAAATTTAAATTATAAAATTGAAACCCACAATTTCCCTGTCTGTATTCCTATAGCCAGTGGACAGGAGTGGAGACTCAAATTCAGCAGTAAGAGAAAAAGGAAAAATATGTTGAAAGAGATTGTTTGGATAATGGTGACAAATTGAATTACTAACAAAAATTATAATTCATTGTGCACCAAAGTGTATTTAATTCCATCCGAATTTTGTCCTTTAAGTATTTTAGTGTATTTAAATGTTAATATATCATAGGTGAAATAAAGACTATTCTTTCTTTCAATCAGTCACTCAGAAATTTTATTAAGAACCTACAATATTTCAGTGACAATGCAAAGCATGCAAGAAATGAGGGAATTATTGAGAAACATAGCTCAAGCACTTCTAGAAAAAAGCATTGAAAAGTCTAAGGAACTGAAGAGGGGAAAATAGAAGTAGTGCAAAAAATAGAGTGAGCTAGATACTCCCCATCCCTGCTTGTTTCTAATTGAATTCTGAATGCTCCAGAAAAATGTAAAGACTGTAATACTTTTGAAGTTTCTAAAAGTTGGTCAAGGACAAAGACATATATTCCTTCATATTTTTGGATTTTAATACAGTTCTCAGAGTTCATAGAAGGTTATTCATAATTAAAATAGATTTTTTAAAGGACTGGAACAAGCCCAGGGCTTCTTTAAAACTATTGAAATAGAAAGCATGATGAATCAGCATGCTTTCGAAAATCACTCAACATTACTATTTATATAAGTACATTTTAGAATAGTAATGAGTGATTTTTGGCAAACATTAATTGAGCACTTATATTCTGAATGTCTTGTAGTACAGGTTCTCACAATCTCTAAAGAGCCATAATTTTCATATGTTGACACTTTAAAGAAATATATTTAGTATATTTAGAAAAATATAAGAAAGGTGCTTGCTATGTTATTCATAAATAAACCTATGTTAAAGATTTAGCCAGCATGAGTTCACAGGCTAGAAGTTACACTGGCCTAAGAGACAATAACAAACACAAATATTCTGGAATGGAAAAATATAATCCATGTAATGATAGCAAATATTTCAAAATGCAGGACTTCAAAATTACCTAGAAAATGTGAACCATGAGATTGGAAAAAGATGCTCTAACATAAAGATTTCCGAAAACACAAAATTTAATTTTACTTTCAAACTTTAAGTGAAATTAAGTTATAATGAGACTTACCAATAATTAGAATACAAAGAAAATTTACATTAATTATACCACAAAAATAACCTATATATTTAGAAATACTAGTAACATGCATAGAATTGGAATAGGATAGTTGCTTTGGAATAAAAAACCAAAACACCGCCAATGGGCAAAGCAGGGGGGAAAAAAGACTTTCCACAACTTAACAGAGACTAAACTCAGTAGACCCTTAATAACACTTAATATTTAACTGAATTCAAAGCTATTCCTGACGCTGGGGTTTGCCTCACTAACCCTCTCTGGACCCTGAGCAAGGAAATTGGGGATAATGGGTTTCAGGAACTTGAACTCACTGGTCCCAGAGCCTCCCGTCAGACACACCTCATACTGGTAGCTCTGGGACAGGGTCCCCGTGCCGCTGACATCCACCAAGTGGCCCGGAAAGCGGCCCTCAGGCACCGAGCAGCGACCCCCCGAGGCCGCCCGGTCCCTCCTGCACAGCCGCACCGCCACGAACAGCAGCACCGAGAACAGGAAGAGCGACGACACCGCGGCCAAGGCCACCACCAGGTAGACGGTGAGCGAGTCGGCCTGGGCCTGGGCCGGGGCCGCTTCCGGCGGCGGCAGGTAGGGCTGCGAGAAGCCGTCCACCAGCAGCACGTGCAGCGTGACGCTGGCAGACAGCGCGGGCTCGCCACTGTCCCTCACCAGCACCACCAGCCTGTGCCTGGCCGCGTCGCGCTCGCCCAGCGGCCTGGCGGTGCGCACCTCGCCGTTGTGCGGCCACACGCTGAACAGCCCGGGCTCCGTGGCCTTGAGCAGCTGGAACGACAGCCAGGCGTTCTGGCCCGAGTCGCCGTCCACCGCCACCACCTTGCTCACCAGGTAGCCGGCCTCTGCCGCCCTGGGCAGCAGCTCGGTGCAGGGCGCCGAGCCGTTCTGCGGCGGGTACAGCACGAAGGGCGGGTTGTCGTTGTCGTCCAGCACCGCCACGCGCACCAGCGCCTCGCTGCGCAGCGCGGGGGAGCCTCGGTCTGCGGCGCCCACGCGGAACTCGAACGCCCGCAGGGCCTCGAAGTCCAGCGACCTCAGGGCGAACAGCTGCCCGTTGTCCGCGTTGATGGAGACCAGCGAGGCGAGCGGCAGGTGCGGGTCGCGGGGCGGCAGCAGCGAGTAGGTGACCTGGGCGTTGGCGCCCGAGTCTCTGTCCGTGGCGCTGACGCTGCCGATGTGCAGGGCGGGGCTGTTGTTCTCGGGGACGAACAGCGTGTAGGAGCTTTGGGAGAAGGCGGGGGCGTTGTCGTTGACGTCGGAGACCAGCACGGTTATGGTGTGCTCCGTCTTCAGCCTGGGTGTCCCCAAGTCTGTAACAGTTATGGTGACATTATACTCAGATACGGTCTCCCTGTCCAGGGCTGTGTTTGTCATAAGAGTGTAAAAATTCTCCACGGAAGGTTTCAGGAAAAAAGGAAGATCATCTTGGATGGAACAAACCATCCTTCCGTTGTCCCCGGAGTCGGGGTCTGACACACTGAACACAGCGATTATGGTCTCCTGCAAGTTCTCTGGGATCTGATTGATAAGTGTAGATATGGTCAGTTCTGGAGGGTTATCATTCAAATCCATCACTTGGATAAATACCACACAACTTCCAGAAAGTCCCCCACCATCCGTCGCCTGGATATTTAGTGTGTAAGTCTGCACAGATTCGAAATCCAGTTTCTGTATTAAGAAGAGTTCTCCCGATTTTGCATTTATTCGAAACGTTTTGCGAATGTGTTCAGAAGCTTGGGAAAATACGTAAGATATTTGCCCATAGGCCCCGATATCTAAATCCCTAGCAGAGACGGTGGCAACGTGGGATCCAACAGGGCTGTTCTCCGGGACCTGCACCTCATAGCGCAGCTTTGCAAACTCGGGGGCGTTGTCGTTGATGTCCAGGACTTGGATGTGGATCGCAGCAGTGCCAGACCTGGGTGGAGTCCCGCCGTCCAGCGCTGTGAGGGTTAACCTAATCTCAGACCGTTCCTCTCGATCCAGCGTTCTGTCCAGCACCAGCTGCGGCGAGATTGTGCCATCGGCACTGTCTTGTAATTTAAGATGAAAGTAGAAATTGGGGCTGATTGTGTAACTTTGGAGACCGTTGCTTCCTACATCTAAGTCCTGGGCACGTTCTATAAGGAAAGTAGTTCCAGGAGTGATACTTTCTGAAATTTTCAAACTTATTTCTTTGTCTAGGAAAACTGGGGAATGATCATTTATGTCCCTAATCCGCAGCTCGGCCTGAAAAAACTGCAAGGGATTTTCCAACAACACCTGGAAAGGGAGTACGCAGGGCTCGGTGGGGCCGCACAGCGCCTCCCGGTCCAGTCTCTCGTTTAGCAACAAATCCCCCGTCTGCCTATCGAACTGCAGGTGCAATTTTTTCCCTTTGGAAACGACCCGGGGGGCCCGCGCAGGCAGCTCATCCACCTCCAGCCCCAGATCTTTTAGCAAATTGGCCACAAAGGAGCCACTCTCCATTTCCTCGGCCACTGAGTAGTGCCTCGGCTCGGAACCAGCCTGAGCTACGCCCAGCAAGACAAAGAATATGAGGACTTGCCTTTGTTTCAGAACGCGCTCCCTTCTCTCTCCGGCCCCCATCGCCTCCGGTCTCTCAGCAAACCTGCTCCAGCTCGGGCTCACGATGTCGCTGACTCGACCTCCCAATACCTTGCGGATACCGGGCTAAGCGGGCAATCCGAGGGAGCGGCCGCCTTAGACACCCTCCTCTTCCTGCTGGCCTCGTTAGCTGCGTCTCTGGGCTAAGGCGCGTCGGCTTGGGGGCTGTGCTTCTGTGTTACTTCTAAGGCTGCAGCGCCACCCCGCGTCCTTTTCGAGCGTTTGTTTTTTTTTCTTCCTCCATAACAATAAGAAAATCCCAATATTTTCTTTCAGATTGATGGCAATCCAAATTAAATATTTTCAAGTAGTGTCTCCCAGTGTACTGAAGTCTTATCCGCATTTCAGAAGGCTTTTCATTGCATCTAACACCACATGGCAGGCAGGGACAAATCACTCCAGTTTCCGAGCAGATCCAAGTTGCTCTTTTTAAACTGGAAAAAAAATCTACTTCAGAAACTAAAAAGGAATGACCTCAGTCCTAAAATGCAGTAGAAAGGAGGTTTGGACTAGAAAGTTCCCAGTGTCTATTCAGAGCTTGGGCACGTGCACATCTCTGTGGTGGTTACAGTTACCATCCTCACACTCAAGTCCAACTGAAAAATATCGTGACCCAGGAAAAGCATGGAATTCGAAAGAAAATGTCCTCATGGACACTGAAATATTATTTTTACTCATACTTCTTTCTTGTACTTTTCCCACTTTACATTTTCCTGAAATTCGCTGCATTTGAGCCACATGAAACTCCAAGAGTAGTTGGATAATTTCTTCTTGTGAATGTCAACATTTTTTTTCTAATAGATAGGAGCATGTTAAAAATATAACCTCAATTCAATTATCACATCTAGCAAAGTTAATAATGTCATAATATCAAAATATTAAATGCTCAGTAAATATTGAAATTTGCCAAAATATTTTATTTTTTTAAAGAAAGGAGGTCTCACTCTATCACCCAAGCTGGAGTGCAGTGGTGTGATCATAGCTCACCGAGCCTCAAACTCCTGGGCTGAAGCAATCCTGCCACCTCAACCTCCTGAGTAGCTGGTATTACAGTCCCATGCTACCACCCTGGGCTACTTTTTAAAAAATATTTTTAGAGACAGGGTCTTGCTATTTTTGCCCAGGCTGGTCTCTAACTCCCGGCCTCAAGCAATTCTCCTGCCTCAGCCGGAGAGTAGGTGACACTACAGGCTGTCAACACCTGGTCTGGCCAATTATCTTAATATACATCTTTAAGAGATGATTTGTTAAGTTGAGTTCCAAACAAGGTATATATGTTTCAGTTTGTCTTTAGGTTTTTTTAAACTTCTGTCTTTTTGTGTTTTTTTTAAAAATTGATAAAAAGATATGAATTATCAAGCCACAAAAAGATATGGAATAAGTTTAAATGCATATTGCTTAGCGCAAGAAGCCAATCTGAAAAGGCTACATACCGTATTATTTCAACTACATGACATTCCAGTAAAAGGAAAACTATAAAGATGTTAAAAAGATCAGTGGTTTCCAGGTGATGAGGGAAGGAGGAATAAAGAGGTAAAACACAGGGGATTTTTAGGGTAGTGAGACTTTTCCTTATTATACTGTAATGGTGGATACATGACATTATAAATTTGTAAAAACCCATAGAACAGTACAACACAAAGAGTGGATTCTAATGTAAACTATGGACTTTAGTTAACAATAAGGTATCAAAATTTGTTCATCAATTGTAACCAATGTGCCATACCAATGCAAGATGTTAACATTAGGAGAAACTGAGTGAGACAGAGAACTCTCTGTACTATCTGCTCAATTTTCTGTAAAATCTAAAACTGCTCTAAAAAGCTAGAGTGTTCATCTAAAAATATTTTTATTAAGGAAATTTTTGAATATATAGAGAAATTGAACTACACAATAAACACAACTCTTCCCTCCATCCAAGCTAAGTAATTGTTTATATTTTGCCATATTTGATCTATCAATCTATCTTGTTTTATACACACATACCCTTTTGCTGACCCTATTTCAAAGCAACTTGCAGACATCATGATACTTCACCTCTAAATAGTCAGCAGATGTCTCCTAAGTATAAGGACTTTATCCTACATAAGAATAATGCTATTATCACTTATGCAAATCAATTAGTAATTTAATATTATCACCTAAAATCCATTAATTAAATCTCACTAATTATTCTTCCATTATCCTCCAATTTTCTTCAACTTTGATAAGAATTCACATTCACTGTTGAGTTCCTTTTACAAATTCACTTATTTTCTTAACCACTTTTTATAAGGGATAGCTTAGAAACTTTGTTTTTCATTGAAGTTTCATGATTGTATTTGGGTGTTACATTTATTTACTGTACAACAGTACCCCATCTTTTATTACATTTTATTTTTTTGAAGTGTCCAGACTAGTTGTCTTTTAGGATGTCTTATATTTTGAGTTTGTTTTATTGTTTCCTCAGGGGGTCATTTAATCTGTTCTATCTCCTGTATTTCTAGATGACTAGAATGGATGATATTTATTAAATGTATAACAATGGCATAACATTTTTTAAAACTTATTTTCTGTAATTGTGTAAAAAAATGAGGTAATAACAGGTTTCCTTTCTTAACATTTAGAAAACAAATGCCTACTTCTAGCCTGCTGATATTATTTTTGCTTTTCATGATTATTACTTTTATGTTAATATTATGATTCAAAATATTTTAATTCATTGACATCGAGCATTAAACACTGCATTAAACACCCAGGTGAATAAAATACTAGATTTAATTATTTAAAAAAAGCTCTTTACACAGACTGAAAAACTTTATTAGGGTCAGGAATAGATTTCTGACTTACATCATGAAGGTGGATTATGACTGGTAGGTCATTTGAAATTTTTAAGGAGAAAAAATAGGTAATGAAAATTACAAAATCTAGCACCTCTCACAAGTCGAGGAATAAAAAACTTAGTATCTAAGATATTTCAAAGGAAACAATACTTAAGGTTTTATACATTAGGTTTTATTGTGCAAAAAATTTTTAAATGTCCATGTTGAGTCATGTTCTCATAATTCATAAGGTTTCATGGTTCTTTCAGTTTCAGTGCTATTAAGACATCTTAAAATAAAAGGAAGTTTCTCTTTTTCATAGATGATAGAACCAACTATTTATATTTATAGATGGTTTCCAGCTTTCAGTGCATTACTTCCACTATGTTTTTAATATTTTAAATCATTTATTTTCTTAAACCTTGATGAGAATTCACATTCCTTCTTGAGTACTCTTTACAAATGCTCTATTTTTTTAATCTCCTTTAATAAGCAATCACATATATTAGAATTAGAATCTGTGCCATATTTATAAATCTAAATAAAATATTTACATTATATATTTATATAATTATTTACATTGTAATAAAGAATTTAAATGAAGAGTTACATTATTACATCAAGTTTAATTTCTTATGTTTGGCATTACTTTTCATATGCTGCCCAAAGATATTATCCTAGCAGTCACTTTCATAATTTTGAATGTTATTTTCAATTAAATACAACATATTAAAATATCATAAAAATTAAGAGTTTTACATAAATGAAGGAACTACCCTTCAGGAGTTCAGGACCCTGAATGGTCTTTGCTAAGTAAAATGTAAAGACTCAGACTTTGCCTCAGGTTGAGCTTTAAGTATTCTATTATTCCTTGTTATGGCATTTAACAGCAAATACGGCTCTGCAAACATAAATATAGCACTGAAATTAATAAGCTGCATGGCAACTCTGTGGATTTATGACTTAAATAATGAAAGAGACATTTGTTTCTACCAATGGCTTTCTCCTATAGTTTCACATCTATATTTGATTTTGTGTCTTCAATGTCATCAAAAGACTTTATTTCAAATAAAAAGCAAAAACTACATAATATTAGGTAAATAGTTACTTGAATTAAATAGATGAAGAACAGTTGTGCTGAAAAGTAGACTATCACATCCATTTTATTCACTGTCTATGAAATATCAAGAAAAGCAAAAAGATAACTTCAAATTAAACAGCTTGACTTTCTCTATGAGGTTATGAAGACCATTTATATTGGGTACAGACTTGGGATGAGTTTTCTCATCTGCTTCAGAATATCTACTGGGATAGTCTACTCAAAGCTTTAATTAAAAATAAATTATCCCAAAAGTAGGAAATTAGGCAAGAAATTAGGTATGGGCAGAAAAAAACAGTGCATTCCTTTTCTGTGCTTAACAATAAAGGAGAAATAGGCTACTACTTTATGTGGTAAATAAAAAAATACCATAAAAATAGCTGAGCCATTAATACCTGTTAACTGTAAATGAACAATCGGCTACACTGGCTACACTTCAGAAATAGAGAAAACACCACTGAAGGTACAGCCATAATATAACAACCATAGTGTTATTCAGAAAGGTGATGTTTTCCTCTACCTTTTATCCTGAGCCCCAAAGCAAGAATGCCAAGGATGATACCATTTTGTTTTAAGATTCTAGGAACCTGATTTCATTGGAGATAAAGTGATGCGTGTAACTCTCTTCTCTCTGTCCTGCGTTAGAATGGCAGAATATGAAATATTTTTAACATACAATAGAAAAGAATTCTGGAAGGATCAAGGCATTTTCTTTTTATCCCAGAGTGCTGAGAAATCCTGAAAGAGGTGAAATCTGTTTCTGAAAGTGCTCCAGGATGGGGCAAGTAAATGTCAACACGACCAATTCCATGGAATTGTCATCCAACATCCTTCAACCGAAGAAAGCTACTTCTCAAACTATTTCTGCTGTGAATTTCCTGAGTATTTGCCACGTAGCACTGAAATTGACAAGTAATTTTCTTGGAGTGGATATTTGTGATGAAAAGATTATCAGCAGTATTTAAAATGTTTGGTGAGTGCTCTCAGAAGGTTGAAGAATTCAATGAGCTGGTTTCTAATTATTTACTGAGACTTGGAAAACCAGTTTGCTGAAGGGCATACATTTCAAGACTTGTCGCTGACTGTCACAATTTGGACCTAGGAGATCCTGGACTACTGTTGATACCTACCATTCCTTTCCGTGAGAGTTAAACTTATCTTGCATTTTTCTTTCTTTGCTTTCTTTCTTGACATAGTCTCACTCTGTTGCCCCGGCTAGTGCCGTGGAGTCAGCCTAGCTCACAGCAACCTCAAACTCCTGGGCTCAAGCAATCTTTCTGCCTCCCGAGGAGCTGGGACTACAAGCATGCGCCACCATGCCCGGCTAATTTTTTTTTTTAATATATATATTTTTAGTTGGCTAGTTAATTTCTTTCTATTTTTAGTAGTGACGGGGTCTCGCTTTTGCTCAGGCTGGTCTCCAACTCCTGACCTTGAGCCATCCACCTGGCTCGGCCTCCCAGAGTGCTAGGATTACAGGCGTGAGCCACCGCGCCCGGCCTCCTTGCATTGTTCTTACCCATGAATGAACAAATTACTTACCCCACTATTGCATCGCACATTATTGTGAAAACGGTCATTGAAACCGAGTGTGTAGTTTCCCAGTGATGCAAAATTCACCCAAGCCTCATGCATGTCCCCGGTGCACATTCTGGAACGTTGAGAAGAATTTTCCAAAGGCGGGGAGGGAACAGTTACATCTCAGACTCACAGACTTTTCCCCAGAAACAAAAGAGAAGTTTACAGGTAATGCTTGGAAATGCAGAGCCCCTTGTTCAGGAGCGATGGCTCTGCTGTGGGCCGATGTCCTTTGATGTCTTTGAAAACCACTCTGCTCTTGTCCGTCCTCCCGCCTCTACGCGCGCCCCCCTCCTCCGCCGCCGGCGCCGGAGCTCCAGAAACCGGCCGCAAATAGCAGCTCTCCTTTTCCCGGGCCGCCTGTCCTGCGCGCAGGGGGGATGAAAACCCCTCGCTCGCCTTTTCTGCCAGAGCTTCTCTCGCACAAAATCC